CCCAGCCTCAGCACGTCCGCTGGTCCTTGAGCAAGGCCCTTAACTGCCAGCACCCTGGGTGCTACTACAAGTGGCTGCCCTTCACGGACAACTTACTCCACATAAGAGCAAGTTGTGGGAGGTGTAAAGACAATTTCCCCATGGGGATTAATAAAGTATTGATTATTATTATTATTATTATTATTTGAAACCGTCGGAGAGCTAATAGGATCAGGCCTGTTGGGGATCAGGGTTGGTGTGATTCTGAGGTGTCACCTGTTGCATGGCGGCACTTGGGTCCCAGTTTGAAGCGTCCCATCCAGTTAGGCGCGTGGAACGTCTTGTCTCCGGGAGCTTTGTACACTCCACGTTTCGGTGGTACTGTAGTACTCTCTGAGGTATGCAGACCAGAGTGACCAGATCTCTGTAGGTGGGTATACCTACTTTTGCTCTGGTCAGTCTGATCGCTGCCATACTCAAGGAGTAGCTGTTGCTGTAGTGGATCGGATCGGTGTCTGTTGTCTCAGTGTATGCTCCAACTGCAGTGAGTGACGTCTTGTTGAGGGAGACATTTTACTCGCAAGTTCATGAACACTGGCACTGACAGGGCTGGCTATGAGGGTCTGGAGACCGGGCTGAAAGTGGCTCCATGCTCCATAACTTTGCAAAAGGTCAGGGCCTGCGGATCACTGGATCCTGGTTCCAACGCCCTGAGTCGCATTGTTGGACTTGGTACTTCAATACTGGTGGTGCAGTGAAGGAGATCGATCACATCCTTGTGGGCAGATGCTGGCGGCTCCTGCAGAACTGCAGGGTCTACAGAAGTGCACAGTTTGTGAATTCTGATCACAGACTTGTTGTTGCTACTTTGAAGATCCAGCTTAGATCCAGTAGGCTACCACCTACTAGAAGAATGAAGCTGGACATAACCAGACTCCAAGATCGAGCTGTTTCTGATGAGTTTGCACGCAGTTTGTGTGAGGAACTTGCAGACTTGGGTGTGACTGCTGACTCTAATGTGATGTGGGAGACCTTCCTTGATAAGACCCTGAAGGTTGCCGAGGTTGCCAATTTTCGCAGAAGGAGGACCTGATTTTTCAAGGGCGGCAATCATTTTCCCTCATGTGTTTTTGACAGAATAAACTATTCCGAAGATAAAACAACACTTTTGCAGAAATAATTTTAATTAAACGAATAGTTTGTTCTCCAAACATTTGAGGAAAATTAGCATCATTGTGTGTATTATATATGTAAGGTTCATGTTTTTGCTCACTTTCTTGAGGGGTGCCAACATTTCTGGAGTTGACTGTACTTCCAGATTGCAGACATGTTTGTGTGTTAGTTTGCTTTGCAAGCATCTAAGTCGGATTTGTTATCATCACTCTGGTGTTTTGTACGATCCTCCTATTGCAAAGGATGAAGTTGAAATGTATATTTTTGGTGTTGTCAGCATAGCAGTGATAATTAACATACATTTGTAACAAGTACAGACTGAACAATATAGGACCAAGCACTGATCCCTGTGGTACACCAAATTTAGTGGGTAATGATGACAGAGTGTAGTTATCAGATAATTGAACATATTGATAATGATTAGTCAAGTAGGATTTAAACCACATCAGTGCAATTGCACACAAACCAACATCAAATTCAAGTCCATGTAATATAGTAGAATGGTCAGCTGTTTCAAAGGCTTCACTAAGTTCCAGGAGCATAAGCACTATTGTATTGCCAGCATTAGTTGTCATTATAATGTCATTTACGACTCTAATTAAAGTAGTTTCAGTGCTGTGTCCTTAAAGGAAGCCCACCTGGAATCTTGAGTATTTTATGTGTATCCAGCTGTGACTGAAGCTGAGCTGCAACTACCAGCTCCAGAACTTTGGACAAAAATGGTACATTAGAGACAGATCTGTAACTGCTGAGTTCTGGATCCAAACTTGGTTTCTTCAGTAGTAGTCTGATTACTGCTACTTTAAATTGGTCAGGCACATCGCTTGAACAGAGGGAGCATTCATTGTAGCAGTTATAGGTCTAACCAGAACTTCCAGGTTGAGTGTAGTTTTGGTCCAGTAGACAAGTGGTAAGTTTTGTTTTAGGGTGTACTCACACTAGATGATTCGCACCATGCTCAATCATGTTTGATCCCCAAGTCCAGTTTGTTTGATTAATGTGATCTCTCTGTACTATGCCTAGCCCCGCTTGAAAAGGTGGGCTGGAACATGGTTCAGTTGGACTTGTGGATGGTATGCATAGAATGATTGCTAACTATGACTGGGCATGGAACACAGACATGACATCAATGATAGGCACACACATGCGCACATGTAAGGTACACGTGAACTGTACCTGGAAGGAATGAATTGGGTACGCTGCACAGATCAGGTAGCAACAAATATTTAACAGACATTGCAGCAAAGGAATGAATTTGGTTTATGGCAGAGGTGCAGTGCTCCCTTGAAATTTTGCTGACAAGAGTTGTTATGGCATGGCATGAGCAGGAAAAAGAACGTGATGACCCACTTGGCAGCTCACGAGACAAGGGAGTTATTAAATTATCAGAAACAACAAAAGGAAAACCACAAAAATAAAGTAAAGGGTCAGAACTAAATGGGCAAAATAAATCAACATGCTAGGGAAACCAGGCAACAAAACAGGAACTAGAAAAACAAAGCAGAGAGACATCACACAGTAACATGGGCAATGACCATTTAGGGAAATTATAGCATAAAACCAGAACAGAACACAAAGAGGGCAAATATAGAACAGGATACTCAAAAGGAAAAGGAAACGTAAAACACTGCAGAACAGAAACTGAAGTACAAATAAAGAAATAAGGCTGATCATTAGCAAGCCCCTAACCCATGACTGGGGCAATGCAGTCCCTAAGCCACACACTCAACCTGTTCAGCTATGCAGCAGGCCAGGGAATAGGGAGAGCACACTGGGGCTGAAGGACAGGAGACAGGTAGAGAACAGGATGACCAGCCATACCTACTGCCCAAAAGGGGAAAAGGAGTACTCCAGAAAAGCCGCAAAATATGAAAATTAATCATGAATTCCATTGGATTATACAGTACCATGGTGCTATTCTTCCTATGTTTTCTTCAATGCAATTTACGTCACACGATGATAACGGAAGTGTGCCTGGGCCCAGAACATTAAGAAAAATGCAGGAGAGTGGGTAAGGGGGTCATTTGTGCTTGGGCACAGTACAAGGCAATCAAGCCAAGTGTGAGTATGCCCTTAGTTATTAGTGTTTTAACTCCTGTTTATCCCTAGGCTGGAAGCTGAGGATGAATGTAATGTCATGGAAGTGGTAATTACACTCCAGGCTGGGGACTGAGGATGAATGTAATGTCAGGGAAGTGGCCCTGGGACTCGAGGTGGGTTCAGTGTCCCTTCACTGTTCCATATTGTGTTGCTCAGGAGTGCATTCTGGAGGCAGTGTGGCAGAGAATGATGAACATCAGTCACTGCACTAATGGCTTAATGTCTTTCTGCTATAAACACTCAGTTTAATTGAAAAGGTGCAAAGTGTTATGAGTGTCAACAGCTGAGAAAGTGTCTTTATTAAAAATTCTTCAGCTTATATTATAATAAATAAATCTAAATGAAAGTAAATTTGACATGAGGTTACAGGAATATCCTTTACCTGTAATTTCAGTGTTTTGGTTGTGAATTTTCACACTTTGATAGTTTCACTTCCACTTCTTGCTGGAGCGGAAACAGGCTTCAGTTAGAACCCTGTTTCCACAACACCATTTTCAATGTATTTTTACATAGAGCTCTGGAAAAAATTAAGAGACCACTATATATTTTTAAAAATCTGCATTTTTAAAACCTGGTTTAATCCTAGTTCTGCTGGCAGAAGGCTATACTGCGAGGGCCACGAGGGGTCAGAACTAAACAGGGCAAAATAACTAACAGCACCATACATACACCTGCTAACGGAACCAGACAACCACGGGAACAGGACAAAGCAAAAGACAGAATACAACACACAGTTATTAACACAAAATTATTAACAACAGAGTATCTTCTCACACAGTAACATTCACACAATGCTCCAGCTCCGCATGACACTGACCAGGAAAAGAGGCTGACCTTAGTTTGGTTTATCCTGCTCACAAGACCTTGCTGTTAGCACTTATTTGTGCACCATTGATCACTGATAGTGGCAGCAGGATGACCCTCCCAGTGCTAAGGTGCACTCTGCCTATTCGGTGCACCTTAGTGAGGCTGTGCATGGCTGTGGGGGCAGGGCACAGCCATATCAAACAGTGCATAAGTGAGTATTTGTGAGTATCTCTCATTTTCAGGATGCAGGTGTGGTGACATAAAGCAGCAGTTGTGGGTACAGCTGTTGTAGTTGTGTGAGTGCTCATACTGGCAAACTTCCTCTTTCATATTCCCTAAAATGCAATTTGGTGGATTAGTCATTTTCCAAAGTTCTTAATCTGTTGCCTCGTGATGAGTCTGGTGTGTGTCTCCATGAATGATACAGTGGATGCCCTGGACAGGATACTAGTCCTTTGCACGACACACGCACACACTATATGCAATTTACATTCACCAATTCATATAGCGCCTTTCATGACAGAGTTGTCCCAAGGCACTTTACATGGATATGTTGTGATACATCACAGTATCATTAGAGACAGTAATATAAAACTGGGAAAAGGAAGGAAAGAAATTAAATAAAGAAAGTAAGATGACAACAGAGGAGAGGAACCAAAAACTCCCAAGTAAGGAGAAAAAAAACCTCTGGGGGTCCAAGGTGAACTGGCTGCCCGACCCCCCCGGGCATGATAACATGACTGAAAACAGTAAAGAGTGGACTAGCTTGCTAAAAGCAAGGTGTAGGCTGTGATTAAGGATCAAGGCAAAGTCCATCAATGAGTTCATTATCCACACTGGCCTGTGTAGGGTGGCCAAAGTCCATCAATCAGTCTGTTTTCCACGCTGGCCTGTGTAGGGTGGCACCGAAGGCTGCACCCATGATGATGCAGTTGGTAGGTCCCATTTGCCATGTCACCCCTCCATGGGACTAAACCAGGACTCTAGTTCAGATGGTGCCCACCTGGCCATGTGGGAAGGCAGAGAGCATGGATGGCAGGAACATGCATTGACACATTAATGGACAAGCATAGTGGGTATAAAGTGGCATGTACAGCAGCACCAGTAGCCATAGTTACGGTGTGTTACATCAACAGTTAAAAACAAAACTTATAGCTAAGATCAAACCAACCACTTGTCCACTGGAGCCAATCCCCACTAAGCTTCTAAAAGAATCCACAGTCACACTATCAGCATCAATTGCCATTATTACATCATTTATAACTTCAGTCAAGGCAGTTTTAGCGCTGTGTCCCGGTCGGAAGCCCGATGGAAAACTATCCGACTGGCATGCAGGAGCTCTTGGCTTAGAGCTCCTACGACGACATCTGACTGTGACCCAGGGCTGGTGTGTGCTGGCTGCTGGTGCCGGACTGGAGACAGTCAAGGTAGGAGGAACAACTGCCAGATGTAATCTGGCTCTGTGCTCTGATTGAGCTGTACCTATAAATCCCTCAATATGTTTAATCTCCACTAACGTACTAATGCGCTCCTCCAATGCGCGAATCCTGTCCTCCAACTCTACAATAACTAAACACCTCTGGCGCACCATACTATCGGGAGTGTCAGAAGGACAGTCCACGACGTATATGCCACAGGAGCTACAGAACACAGCTGTAGAAGACATGATGATGGCCTTTTGATTTCAAGCGGAGATTGTCAATGCTTATCGAAAGTGGTTAATATGTCAGTGTCAGAGTTTAGAGATTAGTGGAAGATTATTTAACTTTGTGGAGATTTTTCCTTACGAAGACTTTATTCTATTTATTATTTTGGTGATATCTATAGTGTAAAAGTTTGCATGCTACCAACCAGTTTGTTCTCAGAGGCAGACACTGCTGCTGATTTTCAGCTTGGTGTCACCATGCTGATATTTTTATTTATCAACTGAGACAGTTACAGAGATAAATGGACTGCAAAGCATTATCAGATTATACAGCTTTTCTCAAACTTGACTACCATGTGTAATTCTGTCATTTGCCTTGATCAGCAACCACTCCCATCTCATTCTCAGTCTCATTCTGGTTGACCTGACTCACTTCAGTGCTCCCACAGCAGGCAGTGCGGATGCTGTCGAACACGGCCATGTAAAGGATGGGGTGAATGCACATGCTGAGGGTCACCAGCCCCTTGGTCACTTGGTAAGCCTTATAGACCCAAACTTTGGTCACGTTTATATCGTGCATCCTCTGGTGGAGGTGCCAGTTGCGGAAGATGTGGTAGGGTATTACAGACACGGCATAGAGGAGCAGCACCGAGACCACCAATAACGCCACCTTCCTCTTCTCGAGCGCTGTAATATTCTGATTTCTCCACACCACCCACATGATGGCGCCATAAGACACCAGGGTGACTACAAAGGGCAGCAATCCTCCAAATACGGCCAGGAAGATGCTGTATGTGAAATGAGCTCTCTGGTCCTCCACAAGGCAGTAGGAGACACATTCTGTGGTGTTGAACTTTTTGCATGTGTGAGCAAAGCGGAGGACAGGAGAGGACATGAGTGCCACCACTACCCACGCCAGCAGGTTGGTGACTTTGGCGTGGTGGGGTCGCACGTGGCGGTGGGCAAAAAAGGGGTGAACGATGGCCAGGTAACGGTTGAGGCTGATGCAGGTGATGAAGAAGATGCTTCCGTACAGGTTACAGATGAAGAGAAAGCGCTCAGTCTTACAGGCAGCTGTGCCAAAAGTCCAGTCCTTGTTCGTCATGTAGTAGATAAGCAGCATGGGCAGTGTGAAGATGTAGAGCAGGTCACTGATGGCCAGGTTGCAGGAGAAGACCACGCCTGAGTGCCAGTCCCGACGCTCTCGCGTCACCATCATCCACAGGGCAAAAGCATTCCCAAGCAAGCCAGTGCAGAACTCCAGTCCAAAAACAGGGGGCAAGAATTTGATCTGGAATCCTCCATCAGAGAAATCTGTTTTTTTCATCTTAAAAATTACACTCCTGGGAGAGACAGGAAAAAACTCAAGTTCTCAAAAATAATCAATGTTGGTGCCTCCAAACAACCTACAATAGCATCATATCAGGGCCTACAGACTGTCTGCAATAGCATCATATCACTGCCTACAGACAGTCTGCAATAACATCACATTGGCTCCTACAGACTGTCTACAATAACATCATGGCGGCTTCTGCAGACAGTCTGAAATAACAGGGTTTCTGCGTGTCCTGAAAAAGTCTTAATCTAAAAATATTCTAAATTTTAGGCCATAAAATGTCTTAGACATGATTTTGACCATCCTTAAAAATTGACTGGATTATGTTACAGTTGAATCCGTGGTTTCAGTTTTCTGCAGTTTACCACGTTCCAAATAAAAAGCCAAAAAATTACAGAATGGTTCCTAAGTTTTAAAATCATGTGCCACATGAGTATGGGCTGTAAGTACCCACAATAGGGTAAGGTGTTTTTAAACAATTTTTTTCTTTTACAAGTTCTGTACAGGAACATGATGCAATATGTTTTATTTTTTATTATATTTACATAAACATTTACATAAGTACATTTTTTTTTTGCCAGCGTGGGTGTGAAATAGGTCTTCAATTGCATTCAAAATGGTCTTAAAATACTCTTTAAAAGTCTTAAATTTTACTTGTTGAAACCTGCAGAAGCCCTCAACAGCATAATGTAGGTTCCATCAGACAGTGTGCAATAACATCATATTGGTTTCTACAGTCACATATAAAACATTCCTTTAGTTTAACTTACATAGTGCCTTTGTACGGTGCAACACACTATACCTACAATTCTACTACATTCAGACACTTCTCTAACAGCAATGGATGCAGCTGCATCATTATTTTTAATGCAAACACAACTTAAGAGAAAACCTGTAGAAAAATGAACTCACTCAGAATTCTGATTGGGGAGTGGAAAATGTTGAGGATGTTTGGAGGATTATTCAGGTCTGTTCTGAGCTCTGTACATATACTGTGTGAGACAGGATGTAAAGCAGCATAGCTTCACACTGCCATTTCCTCCCACTGCAGTCAAGCTTAATCTGCCAGTTACACCACATTCTGGAAGCCCATTTCCGCAAATTGATGAAAAAGTCATTATAATGAGAAACTTTCTTGAAATAATCACATAGTATCTCAAAATAATGACTTTGTATGTGAAAATAACAAGAAACTCTTGAACAACAACCTCGACACACACACACACACACACATACACACAATCTTTCATCAACTATTTTTCTAAACTAAATTTTATAAAGAAAAAAAATACTTTTATTTTACAGCGACATATAAGGAGTTAAAAGGAGTTTAATATCAATGTTAAAAAGCAACCACAGGCAATCACATTATAATAAGTGTATTAAACAGCAAGCATTCCAATCAACAAATGTATTATTTAGAGGGGGACAGGGGATGGATAATCAATATTATAAATACCAAGACCCTAGAGAGTGCAGAATATTTTTAATGCAGCAGACACAATTAAAAACTTGTTTTTTCATTATGTCATTATACACATACAACAGCAGATAGTTAAATTATCCACCTTCTGGCTAAAAGTGGCCGCAAATTCCAAGTGTAGTCGATGGGATAGATGATAGATGTTGTTTTAGCAATATGTGTATTGATGTTAATTGAAAATGTTGTAATTGTGTAATGTTTGCCATGGAATACATGTGTTGCGTTAAGGTGTAGTCACGAGGGCTGTGTAAATTGGCGACTTCCGCATCTGTGCTGCTGCTAGTATTAAAGCGATAGTGGCTGTTAAAAAAGAGAGTAACTTTCATTTTAAAAGAACTGTCATCTCCCTTATTACAATGACTCAACCACTCACCACGATACGCCCCCCCCCCCCTTTTTTATATGGGTCTGGTGCATCAAAAACACCCTGCACTGTTAAGGGTTGTGGAGTCTGTACCCGCCCCCACTCCCCCAAATAATATCCCTAAATAAATCATTATTCCCAGAAGGTTTCTCAATATTTCGAGGTACTAATTCATTATTTCGGGATACTAAGTCATTCTTTCAAAATAATAATACGTTATTTTGAGATACTAAGTCATTCTTTCGAAATAATAATACGTTATTTTGAGATACTAAGTCATTCTTTCGAAATAATAATATGTTACAGGTATTTTGAGATAGCAAGTCAATATTTTGAGATGTTAAGTCATTATTTTCAGAAAATATCTCATTATAATGATTAATGATCTATTTTCTTCATCACAGTGGCTGAAATGGGCTTCCATACCGTATAGACCAAAGTCATAATAAAACAAACACATACATAATAAAAGCTTACAAAATATGCATGAACGCGGAACACAGGTGTTCTAATCGCCCTGGTCTGACATTTTTGCACAATTCTAGGCATGTTGTGGGGGGATGGGGGTGTATCTGTTGGCCCTTTCATCTGAAGGAATGATAGTGCCTGCCTTTGATGTTCGAAGTGCCCTTTTCTGATAAGCAATGGTGACACAAACCCCCCGATATTGCAAAAAACTTACCAAGGGGGTACATTGCCCCCCACCTGGCAAAAAGTACCTGTTGGCCACTCCCCCCTATTTGAGCACCTGTCCATCCACCTGCACCTCCATCTATGCACATCACTGCACAATTCTAGAAAAATCTCTGCACTGCATATTTGGTGAACGGGAATTTTTCTCTCTGTTGGATACAAGGAGTACTTCCCATGTGTACCGTGGTTTCCTTGAACACGTGGTTTCCTTGAGAATGGCGTCTCAGGATCATCCATCGTGTGTTGTTGCCTGGGAGAGTCTGCATCCTGCCATGGACTGGCACCTGCTCCACAGCATCCCAGTGCCTGCTAGTGCCCTGTCTATACTGGTAGAGGATCCTTGCAATTAAACTCCAATGCAATATCCAAACAAGCTACACTGCAACATGGAGCTCAGTTGTGGTCGTTTAAAACTGACAAAGACGTTGAATCATTCCCACTGTTTTTGGAAGGACAAAGCAATACTTAGTGCAGGCATACAGTATAGTCATAATAGTGTCCTAACAAGAATGAAGTCTTATTAGTTTGTCCTATGAAGTACTGCAAGTAGCTGTTTTTGTAACAAAGCACCAAAACTCATATTTAAAAAGATTAAGACTGTACAGGCATAGACCAGAATATACAAGGTTTTGTGAGCTGCATTATATAAATACAGCCCCATTCTCAAGATGCCACTTCTTTGTTAATCTTATTTAATAAACTCTTTTTATTATGAACAATCTGGCAGCTAAAAGGAGAGAAGGTCTTGGCAGTGTGTGGAAGTTCAGTTCAGTCCCACTTATTGATTTCTAATAAATCTTTTTGTCTGACAGTAAGAGGACCATGACTGTTGCTAACCGAACACAGGTTCAGATGGGTCCTGTTCAGAAATCAGGACCATACTGGCCATCTGGTATACCGAGCTGATGGCTATGTGAGACCCCAAAGTCCAGGGCTGATGTTTAGTCTCAGTCTATGTATATGTCTTTATCAATACACTGTTATACTTTTTACAGAGAGATCATACAGTATGTGAAAACCCCATTAGGCTAAGAAACGTTTTTGTATAGAATCAGGGAGTTCTACAGACCATTCTAATCATGCTCCAATTCTGACCTCTACAGGAGAGAAAAGGAAGCATAGTGTGATGAAATGGTCCTTTAATTTCCATTTGCACAAGTACATTGGAATGCTTCTTTTCACATATCCTATTGTTCTTTTCTTTCAGAGATACACACGCATATACAGGCAAGAGCAAGACTTCGGGTCTGAGCACAGGATCAGTCATTTACAGTGGTACCTCAGAACTCAAACTTAATCCGTTCAGAACTCCAGATCGAATCCTAAAAAGTTCGAGATCTGATCGAATTTTCCCCTTAAGAAATAATGGAAAACCAACTAACTGGTTCCTGGCCCCAAAAAATTACACCGAAATATGTTTTTTTTTAGCATTTAAACACAAAATGAACCGGATAAAACAAGAGCATATACTGTACTAAACACATCTAAAAACATTTATCAAAACAGTAATTTTTAAAGTAAGAAAAAAAATGTATCCAAACAATGTGTCCTGCCCCGATCATCCGCTCCTTCCGTGTACCACGTCCCCTCCTTAACCCCGTGTGGAATCCCCGTGTGATCAGCTGTTTCTGGTTGTTGTCATTAGTCCTCTGTATTTAGTCCGCGTTTCAGTTTGTTACCCCAGTCCGGTCATTGTATTGTCCATCTGCGTTTTGCCTGCCTTACCTGTAATTAAACCCCGTATTCCCCGATACGTTGACGTCTGCACCTTTGTCTCCGTTCAGTCCCCGCTGGGCACGACAATATTATTATAATTAAATGTATTAATGGTTTATTAATAATATTAAAATAATTAATAAGAAATCTTTATTTTTAAATGTATTTTATTATATAATAATAATTACTGTTACTGTCTATCATTGTCTAAATGTATTTTTACTGTCTAAATATATGTATTCAGCTAGTGTAAACATGCACGATGCTATCACAGCGAATGCGAGGTGAAGACTGAAGCATTACCCTTTGTTTCCACTGAGAGACGTGCTGCGTGACTCATTTCCTCGCGCAAAAAAGTTGTCTTAGGTCGGCATTTACAGTTTGACTTCTGAGATTCAGATCGAGTTCTAGGTAAATTTTTTTTCAAACTGGTTGGTTCGACTTTTAAGAAATTTGAGTTATAATGAGTTCGAGAACTGAGGTACCACTGTATTTATTTATCCGGTGCCCCCGGAGCATTTCTGGGGGTAAAGAGCCCGGCTCAATTCTACTGAGGCTTGAATCAGTGACCCTCTATCCACAAGCACAGAGGGTTAACCCATGAGTCACACAGCACCCTTTGGTGGACACGCATGATTCTGAAAGGCACTGCAATCGTCGGTGAATGTGTGGAGCAGAAGGAGCAGGCCTCTGTTCTGGCTCCCTGCTCCAAAAATCCATTTAATATCGGTGACTGTTACGTGGCGTATGTTTTTGGATTCATACTGCAAGGGTTTGCATTTATTACGTATTGCGCAATTTACATCTGTTACGTTCTGGTCGGACGTTGTCATTTCTGGGTTATACGTAAGCCCCAGCTCCTTGGGTTTGCTCATCTGCTTCTGTTTTATTCCTAAAAGTTCTCCGTCAAACCAGGGCAACCTTCTGGGGGGTGTTTCGCCCTCTACTGGGGCCCTTGAATCTAGGGAATGTTATTATTGCCACGAGTTGGGGCACATCATATCTGGGTGCCCAATGCTAAAGCGTAAAGAGGGTCACAAGGCATCGACCAGGTAGTTGCCCACTCCAATCCCTTTGATACTTTACCAGGGAGCAGGAGGGGCAGCAGATTCCCAACAAGCCATGTAAGATGGGAACTGAGTGGGAAGCTGTAAATCGTGGTGCTACAGGGATCTTACAGAATGTGGAAGCCCTTCTGCTCTGCTTCAATGCTGCAGCCCAGGCAGACATCAGCATGCACCTCATTCTGGATTACTGTGTAGAATCAGCGACCTGGCAGAGGGCTGACTTCAGCGTAACGTAATCAGCATGCTTTCATCTACCACTGACTGTAATGGTACACATCTTCATCATGCATGGTTTCATTACATTGTTTTCAGTTTGGAAAGCACAGTGAAACAAATTAATATATTTCTTGAAACACATGGAACCCAGGGTTAATTTTGTCAATGAAAATTTTGACGATAAGTATTCGTAGACGACCTTTTATTTCAAAATAAATGAATGCCAGCATCCACCAACCTCCCAGTCTCCTGGTGTTTTCATGGTTTAAACTAATTAATTACACAAATTTTATTGATCACTCTGTTTTGGTTGATCACTGGTAGCACAGTTTTAACCCTAATTTATTAACAATATAATGTTACAATGTGTGTTTTGCATTGTGTGTGATTAACCTTGTTTTATTCCTGAAGTCACCGATTTTATGTTTTACAAATGTGTGTGTCCTTGTTCTAGACCAGGGGTGGCCAATCTTATCCGCAAAGGGCCGGTCAGCTGTTTAAACCCTGGTGTGAGGACTCTTCATCCAATCAGTCCTCTAATTAGTAATCTAATTATGGAGTTGCAGCGAAAACTCGCATACACACCGGCCCTTTGTGGATAAGATTGGCCACCCCTGTTCTAGACTGACCCTTGTGCAGCGGTAGCTCTCTGGGTCCATTCATCTTTTGGAAGATTTAATTTTTTTTTATTGCATGCATTTGAGGTGACATTTTAATCATTGCTATATTGAAATTTTGTGCATTTGTTTTTGTTTTTATGAATTCCTTGAGATTTATTATCATGATTTTAAGAACTATTGTGTTTTATTATTGATAATTTATGGAAATTAATCGTTTTTCTGCCAGAATGAGGACAAGAGGGACACTGGTCTGGTTCCAGCCAGAGGTGATCCCGTTCTCGAGCTGTAAGGAAAAGATTTTTAAAAAGAATGTTGGCTTTAAACCCTTCTTGGCTCTCTCGTTCTTGTCGCCGCCATGCCGAGGTCTGCTGGTTATTAAAATATGTTGTACTCAAGGGCATTGCTATAGATTTTAGGCCCTGTGAAGGCATGTCATTTTGGGCCCCCCAGTACAGAGCAATCCAGTTGTTTTCCAATTTTATTTAGGTCCCCTGTCACTCAGGAGCCCTTGGAATCGTCCTCCCCCCCCCCAGACATTCTGGACATTCGTACTGTGTGAAGAGATTTCCGCTAATGTATCTAAAACTTTAATTAATTAACTTTAATTTCATTACTTTTGTTAAGAAGATAATTTAAAACAGTATTATTAACTTATCTGACATTGGAAAATGACTAAGATGTGGTCCTTCGAAATAAATTAACTTTCGAAAATGCCAATGTAGCGTCGCAGACGAATGTGGTAAATGAACAATGAAACTTAGAAAAACAGGGCGTATTGCAGCTCTTAAAAAGGGAACTGGAAGTAGAGAACATGCTGAAATGTAGAAAAAGTCGCTGACTTATAAAATCATCCGCATATTTGCATTCTTCTCAATATTCTCCGGTTCAACAGATTTTCAGTTCAATTGCATATTATCTTAAGTGGCCTGGAGACCATTAATCGAGTACAATATACAAAACACATTCCTTATATTTACATGTATTTTTAGGCATACGATTTTGACCAAAGCGACATACAAGTGAGAAAAATAATACAACACATACGGCCGTCAAAGCTGGGCTTCCCTAGTGAATTCCCAGTTAAGTGTAAGCAGCATTGGGGCAAGAGCTACACGGTATCTTCCAATCAAAGCAAACATGGTAAGAAAATTATATTGAAATTGGCAGACAATGCGACATTAATGATATTCAGGGGGTGGAATTCAATGAATGTTGATATGATATTGATTCCATATAAGACAAAAAGGTTGAAACAATGCTGATCTTCAATGTTTCACTTGTATTCAACATTGAATTAAGGTTTTGCCACCATCGGTTTTTCAATATTGAAAATCTGACCAAAAATAAATTGAATTTCAACGTTGATAATTTGACACTGACCATTCAACGCATTTAACTATAATTCAACGTTGAGACAATTAAATGGTGCTATCTGGGATATACAGTAGCCTATGCTAACGTTCAAGGTAGTAACTGTGCGTTTGACCAAAAAACAAAACAAAAACCAATCAAACACTAGATGAATATTCGCTGTACAGCAGAAGACATATTTACATTTTAATATGTTTCATCCCAGAAGATTTATTCACTTATGAACATTTACAGCGACCGCCGGTGAACACCTCTCCCTTTAACGCCAAGGACTTCCCCTTTAAGCGCCCTTTCAATTCCCTATTTGTGTCGGCGATCCGCACATCGCCGGTGCTTGATGCTGATTTCTTGCTTTCGTTCTCGGTTCTGTGCCTATTTTAATTAGAGCTTTTGATTGCCATGTGCCGTTTTCACACGCTGTTGCTCGGCTTAATTTCTCTGTTCGTCCCGGAGGTTGGGAGTTACTTCCCGGAGGAGCGCTGGACCCCAGAGTCCCCCCTGCTCGCACCCCGGGTGCTCATAGCGTTCATCTGCCGCAACGCGGAGCACTCTCTGCCTTACTTCCTCGGCACCTTGGACCGCCTGCGCTACCCAAAGGACCGCATTGCTCTGTGGTATGGTACCGGGGTGCCGATGTGCGCTTGTTCGTAGGGTTTAAATTTGCCCGATGCTTTACCGGTAAAACATTTGCAGAAGGAGATACCCTGACCTAGGATGGGACACTAATGAACACAGAGACCAGGAGGGGACAGTGATGAGATACAATGAGGAAGATGGGACACTGATGGGACACACTGAGCAGGGAGGACAGTGATGCGACACAGTTAGCGGGGGGGTGCACTGATATAACACACTGTGGGGGGGGACAGCGATGGGACATAGTGAACGAGGGGGCGATACTGATGGGACACAGTGAGCGGGGGGACACTGATGGGACGCAGAGAGTAGGAGGGTTTAGTGATGGGACACAGTGAACGAGGGGGCGACACTGATGGGACACAGAGAGTAGGAGGGTACAGTGATGGGACACAGTGAATGAGGGGGCGACTGATGGGACACAGAGAGTAGGAGGGTTTAGTGATGGGACACAGTGAACGAGGGGGCGACACTGATGGGACACAGAGTAGGAGGGTACAGTGATGGGACACAGTGAATGAGGGGGCGACACTGATGGGACACAGAGAGTAGGAGGGTACAGTGATAGGACACAGTGAGCAGAGGTGCTTTATGTTGAGAATAAATGTGTATGGTGTCACTGAGTGAAACCAGAACCAAATTAGCTGGGCTGTGGAGTTCAGCATGGGGGCTGTTTACATAGATGGAAGCATCCTGCAATATCTATCACCATTGCTGATGTGAGTCGGCAGTGTAACCACAGGATTTTTTGTGCCTATAACATTTCTTCATTGGTTGCCCCTGCAGACATTGATTTTTTTTATTAGATTCATCCAGTCTATGGTGAGAGCACTTGCCTCTGAGTCGTGTTTTTATCTTGCACTAACGGAGCACAAAAAGGTCTGTTAGTCTCTCTCCATTCCTCTAGGTGAGTTTCTGTTTGAATGGTGTTGCATGGGGTGGGGTGAGTTTAGGCTTCCCTGGGGGGCCCTCTCAGCCAGGAATGCGTGTCGAGGCTCAGCTTGTTCCCGCTCAGCCGTGTGTCTCTTGTTAGCTTCACTCAGCTCTGATGCTGGATCTTCACTTTGTGTTCTATTCGGAGAATGTCAGGAATGCAAACAGTCTGCAATGCCATCTACCCAGCAAAGCCGGTATTGTATGATATCCCATCTCCAGGTGCTCTTGGGGTATTCTTAGGCTTAGATACTATCTCTCTGACTCCAGAGGCATTCCTGGTGAGCATGGTGAACATTTGCTGGTTCATTTGAACTCACCACTGGCAAGCTGAAATTTGCAGGTTAGCTGCCATGGCATTCGACTGACAGATGGGAACAGGATGATTTTGGACAAATTTACACTTGTCATGAGTATCAGCAGAATTCTTTTGTAAAAACAATATTTTCCAATACTTGTGTATATCAAATAGAGTATTTGACATACTCCCCTAATCATTCCATAAATACTCATCTGCGCGATGCATCAGCTTCCTGTTGTGTTGAGGCTGGTTTTTGCTTTTCACACAGTGTCACTGCAGATGAGTTTATTAAGCTGTATTTTTACACACAGCTGTGATCTTTGCTGATGCAGCCAAGGCCCAGAAACCTTGTGTAGCCTGCAGGACTCCATCTGACCCTCAGGGCTCCATCTGACTCTCAGGGCTCCATCTGACCCTCAGGGCTCCATCTGGCCTGCAGGGCTCCACCTGACCCTCAGGGCTCCACCTGACCCTCAAGGCTCCATCTGACCCTCGGGGCTCCATCTAAGCCGCAGGGCTCTATCTGACCCTCAGGGCTCCATCTAAGCCGCAGGGCTCTATCTGACCCTCAGGGCTCCATCTGACCCTCAGGGCTCCATCTGACCCTCAGGGCTCCATCTGACCCTCGGGGCTCCATCTAAGCCGCAGGGCTCTATCTGACCCTCAGGGCTCCATTCCACATTCACATCTGCTGCCCACTTGATGATCTCTGAGTCTTTAACATTCTAAAGGTTGAAGGAAAGGAGTGATTTTGGTGCTTATTTTGTAGAGTTAGAAGTATAGTGCAAAACAGATCTTTGCAGTTTCACAGAAACGACTATTCGTTTTGCATCAGGCATATACTCAATAAGTAAGGGATGAACCTTAGCGAGTCGTGCGGTTATATGAAAAGAATCAACATTTTATTTTAATATTTTCATATATCCGCACACCTCCAAGTGGCTTATCCGCTTTTCCCATGGCTAACAAACAAAAAAAATTATAGAATAAGCTAGTTATTATTAATTTTTCAGAAGAAAATTATTAGCATTTAATAATGTTTCGATATGCTGTTAAAAATGTAGTCTTTATAAGGATAGAACGTCTGGTCAGTCTATTCACTGGGAGCAGCAAATCCCTTAAGTTACCATAGAAACCATCAACAGACAGGCACTTGTGCTTGGAAGGAAAATTATGGTGATAATGACTGCTTATTTATGAGTAAAAAGTCACATTTTTAAATATCAACATTTAATAAAACATTAAAACCCATTAATACAGGACTGTTATTAGGTTGCCAGAACTACCTGTTCAACACCCATGTGACATCTCTGGACCAATAAAAATATAGTACTTACCAAATCCATGGCATCACCAGTGGTAATGGACACTTTTGTCACTCCTGCACTTGGTGTGTGTTATTGTTGCATAGTGTGTCTCTTTGTAATTTATTTCTTGAATAGTTTTACCACCTCAGTATGCTTACCTTTATATGCAGTTTACTTCTTTTATGTATTGTTATGTCTTTCATATATTATGTACTTCATATTTGTATTGGATCAGCTTTGGATGTCACCAGTGTGATCTCACTGTGTGTTACACAATGAAGATAAAACCTTTGACTCCTATGAATCTCAGGTATGTTAGGTAGGAGCACCTATGCCACCTCACAGTTCCTGCAGCTGGAACGCACATGTCCACAAGCTCCAAGTTGGGTCTGGCTGTGACACGTTTTCACTTCCCTTGACTGTCTGCTGAGTTCCTTTTTTGTTTTGTGCTGGCTGCTGTGACTTTTGAAGCTTGCAATTTATTTAAGTCAGTGTGACCAAGGTCTGTTCCCTCTCCATGCAAACTGCTTTACCAGCAGACTCTGCATCTACAGTTGTTGAATGTGAACACATTGTGCAGGAACTGCAGAGGTGAAGAGGATTACATTCTACTGCTTTATAATTTGATAAACACCATTTATCAAGTGCTGAGCAGATGCCTGTGATGTCTGACTGGGATTGTTTCACTTGTGTCCACAGGGTGGCGACAGACCACAACATGGACAACAGCACAGCCATCCTGCAGGAATGGCTTGTTAATGTTCAGAGTCATTATCACAATGTGGAGTGGAGACCACAGGAAGGCCCCCAGTGAGTCTTCATTAGTTTATTGACCTTTCAGCATTATTACAGGTTCATAAAGACCATTATCCTTAAAAACACTGACTTATTTTGCTGTTATGATAAAACATCATTACTAAAATCATTAAAATAATATCTGTACTTTGAACCTTGACCTGTAGTCAGTAAGATACTGTTCGGGAGTAACATTTGTGATTTAAAAAAAAATTTGAATCCGTGTGTCCTGCAGGAGTTACGAAGACGAGGCTGGTCCCAAACAGTGGACAAAGCTGCGCTACGAGCACGTCATGCAGCTGCGTCACGCTGCACTGGAGGCAGCGCGTGACAAGTGGGCCGATTACTATTTGGTGCGTCCCCCCCAATCTCATACACACAGACACACATGCACACACATTTCAGTGATACGAAACTGCATGCGTTCTGCAGAGAGAAAGGTCCTGAGAGGCATGTAGAAACGGTCCATGGCCTCTGTCAGATCCTGAAAATACACCACAGTCTATGTGCAATACACCAAGCATAGAAAACCTCAGAGTTATTCTAAGAGCTTAAATAAAGAAATCTGAAAGTGTGTAAAAAAAAGTATGTAAAGTAACGGTTGTGCTGTGCTTTGGTACAGCTTTGACTTTCAGCTGTATTTCACTGTACCATTTCATCTTTTCTTTGAAAGCCCGGAGGCTATAATCTTCAGGAAGAGCCAAGCCACAGTAGACACTGGACTCATACAGTCAGCAGCTATGCTGTCCAGCACTGGTCAGCTCTTCCTGTACACTACCACCAAGTGGTTACACATGGTATAGCAATGTTGTAATCAGCCCTATTATTTCTCCTGTTTGCTGTAGTATGAATTTACTCAAAGGCCATGAAATCAATATTGTCATGTTTTTACTTTCCTGTCCTCTAAATTGCAACCATTGACTAGCAGCCTCATAACAGAAAATGTCGCCTTAGGCTGTTTCTTTGCCTTATGTGCATTTGAGGGTAAGACGGAGAGGGCAAGGGAAGATCCTGTGCCAGTTCTCTCTGTGATGCATGTGACACAGTTTCTTTGGTGTTGGGGTGTGCAGCCCTGTAAGTCTTTATCTCTCCCACACTGATCAGTCAGTGGACTGCGACAACCTCCTGACCAACCCAGATGTGCTATGGAAGCTCATCAGTGAGAACAAGACTATCGTGGCCCCGATGCTGGAGTCACGTGCGGCATACTCCAACTTCTGGTGTGGCATGAGCTCACAGGTACAGCCTCCCATGCCTGCCTGGCTGCATGTGCCTGCCTGTGTCAGTCACTAGCCCTTTATGGATTCGGCACTGGGGCTCAGTGATGGGCTGTGAGTAAATACATCCTTATTCTGTATGTTTATGCCCCTGGGGTTACTGTTAATGGACCCAGAGTGCATGGTTAGTAAGTTCTTTGGACTTAGTGTAAACAAACCAAGCCTTCATGCAGTGTATCTCTGTGCTTGTATCCCTAGGGCTACTACAAGCGGACCCCTACCTACATTCCCATCCGCCGGTGGGAGCGCAGGGGCTGCTTCGCTGTTCCCATGGTGCACTCCACCTTCCTGGTGGACCTGCGCAAGGAGGCATCCCGCCAGCTGGCCTTCTACCCCCTCCACCCTGACTATAGCTGGGCCTTTGATGACATCATCATCTTCTCCTTCTCTGCTCGCATGGCAGGTGGGAAATGATTGTATCTTGAGGAGTGAACTTAGGTTTCAGGACAACTGGAGTTGCAAAACAAAACAATACATTACTCCCCAAAGATAGTTGGTGATGAAAAGCATTGGTGCTTTGGGGTGAAAATTCATGTTCTTTCTGGACAAATTGAATGAAATGGAAAAACTATCTTGTAGGTGTACAAATGTTCCTGTGTAACAGAGAGAATTATGGGTATCTTCCCATTCCTGTACGTTCCCACAATTCCCTGAGGGACGAGGCTGACAGTTTCGTGCATTCCCTGCTGGAGGTCATGGGTGAGTGTTTGTGCAGTGTCAAAAGGTGCATTTCAAAATATGTCATTATTGGTGTTTTGATTCTATAGTTGATGGACTCAAATTGACTTACAGTCCTTAGTCAGCAAAATCATCTTTAACAGGGAAGGACCTTGTAGCTGCTGGACACCTGATTTTTTTCTGTGTTCTGCTCCTTTCTGGCCACCTTTTCTGTTTCTCTTATCGTCCTCTTGCTGTCCGATGTCTGCCTGACCATCATGTGATCCTCTTGTCTCTCTCTCAGTGCATCACCCCCCTGTGGAGCCCTCCAGCTTCATCTCCGTTCCCCCAAAATCCCCAGATAAGATGGGCTTCAATGAGGTAAGTTGGGTGGACTGATTGCTGGACGAGAGCACAAATCAGCACATGCTGCTCTTCACTAAACGTTTACAGATGTTTTAAGGACAGGTCAGCTGTAGTTTGATTGCTCAGTATAACCTGTAGCTACAGATGCTTACAGAAGGTTTCTGTTAGATGGGAGGATGTTGAAAAGGTCTGTCTGTGAGCAGTGAACTGGGTGTTGGAATGCAGTTTGGAGGATTCGGTCCTGCACAGTGTGCTGAAGTGGCTGTCTGTATCACAGGTCTTCATGATCAACCTGCAGCGGCGGTCGGACCGGCGCCAGCGAATGCTGCAGTCTCTCCACGAGCAGGAGATCACCTGCAAGCTCATCAATGCTGTGGATGGCAAGTATGTCAACTTAGCCACACAAAATGTCTCTAGGATGAGTGCATAGTGTGGAGTAATGATCAGGAGTATAGTTGGGGCAATCTCAGGAGTTCACTGGTCTATGTAATAAGTCTGAGCAAGGCTGAGTGTTGGATACACAGATGGCAGCTGAGCCATCTGTGTAGCTGATGGTGCTGAGCTAGCCATATTAGCCTGAGGGTACTTCAGTTGCTGTTAAATTGTGAAAACTTGCGTAATGTTTCCTGAATGCCAGCGCACTGAATGCCAGTCAGATCCAGTCCATGGGGATCCAGATGCTGCCTGGATACAGTGACCCGTACAACGGACGGCCCCTCACCAAGGGAGAACTGGGCTGCTTCCTCTCTCACTACAACGTCTGGAAGGAGGTGAGTAGCGTAGTTAAGATGTGGCTTTTTGGCTCTGACCACTGTGGTCCATGGTGCAAGGATGTGTATGCTAATGAACCTGCCCGGATCTGATCATGCAGATTGCAGAGCACAAGCTAAAGACCTCCCTTGTGATTGAGGATGACTTGCGTTTTGAGGTCTTCTTCAAGCGGCGTCTGCAGAACCTGATGAACGAGGTAGAGAGCCATGGCTTAGACTGGGATCTCATGTGAGTCACAGCCCTTCAGGAACATCTACTTCTAAGAGGACCAACATAGATGTTCACCATAGTGATCTTCCTCTCTCATTCGTCTTTAAGATATGTTGGACGGAAGAGGATGCAGGTGGACCATCCAGAGAAATCTGTGCCCAAAATTCATAGTCTGGTAGAGGCTGACTATTCTTATTGGACGTTGGGATATATGATTTCACTGCGGGGTGCAAGGAAGCTGCTGAAGGCAGATCCCCTCAGCAGGATGCTGCCAGTGGACGAGTTTCTTCCTGTGATGTACGACAAGCATCCCATGTAAGTGGATGGGATAGAAAGGAGATTAGGGGATAAAAGCGGAGGGAATGGGGGATTGAAAGCCGATTGATTGGAGAGGGCATAAAAAGTGGAAGGGAATTGGAAGGTGATAGGAAGGAGGTGGGGATTGAGGATAAGGGGATAAGAGGATAGAATTAGGGGGGAAATGGGAATTAGGGGGTTGCATCCATGCATCTTAAATCATTTTTGGATAGGAATTCTCTGAAATGTGTTTGTTGTTTTGGAATCTTCTGTAAAGTCCAGTCTATTTTTTGTCACGTTTTTCTTTTGACTGGCCTCTGTCTCTCCATCACCTGCAGCTCACGCTACATGGAGCATTTCCAAACCCGGGATCTGAAGGCGTTCTCAGCTGAGCCGCTCCTTGTCTTTCCCACGCATTACACGGGTGACCAGGGCTATGTCAGCGATACGGAGACCTCCACGCTTTGGGACAACGAGGGCGTTCCCACTGACTGGGACCGCTCTCCTTCAGGCAAGACCAGTGAACAACAGGAGCTCAGCCAGGAGGCCCAGAACTCCAACGTCGTCCAGTCTCCACTGGACAGCACCGCGCATGACGAGCTCTGAGAGTGGGGCTTTGGGCCGAGTGTGGGTCAGAACAGGTGGGCGAAGGTCATCATATCTCAGACAGATCTGGGAGGCAATCAGAACCAGGGGGACTGCAGTAAAACTCCCCCCCCCCCGGCAGAAGTCATCTACAGTGGCGCTGCTGAGGTGGATGCAGAGTGGAGGGCAGAGGGGGCTGTGAAGGCACCTGTGTTGCTCCCCACTTAGTTCAAATTTTTCTTGTCTCTGATCTCAGCATTCTAAGTAGGATTTCAGCTGATTTTCTTTGTCTTTTGGGAGTGCTGAACTAGTGTTACAATGTCAGATTAAGGAGCGTAGCAGGAATGTTTGTCCTCATGAACACGTGAAATGGACTTCCAAAAGTGTCATTTATGTTGTAGGTTCTGTTTTTTCATCAAGCTCAGCTTACATTGTGAGTGGAGATCTGTACAGTTAATGTTTTTAATTTATCGAACATTTCAAAGCTATCATGACACTTATTTGAAACTCTGCCCCCTTTCCCCCTTTTGCTGACAGTTGCACATGATCTTAAGGGCTAAATGCTAACAATATTAATACTAATAGCACTGGCTAGTAGCACTGGCTAATAGCACTGGCCAGAGGGAGCCATCCACACTATGAAAGAGTGGAATTAACCTCACTTTCATTCTGCCTCTGTGGATATCATTTTTTTTTATTATTGCTTGAAAAAAATGATTTTTATCCTAAAAAGTGTGTTACAGTGCAGGATTGAAATGCAGTTAAAATGTTTCTGAGACTGTAGCAATAACCTGCTGGTGATGGTGTTTACCGTCAAGCTGAGAGGATCAGCTGCTGTTCTGATTCTTTGAAGTGCTTCTGAGAAATTCTCGTTTTTCTGCAATTGTGCCTTATACCAAAGAATAAACTATTCTAAAAACCAATGGACATTACTAAATTTCATTTTTGTTCTTAGAGAACACATGTGGCAACATCATAGGTATGTATGGGAAATAAAGTTAGTTAATCTCGCAGTGTTTGATAATGAAATTCATCAGTTTTCACTGCATTTTGAAGGGTTACCCTATCCTTTGTTAGTACATGCGTGCTATACCGCTCTAGTCAATTAAATTAAATTAGGGGTTTTACTTGAATACCCAGAAGTTGTTTTTTAAGTTAATGAGCAACTGCATGAATGGGCAGAATGTCAAATTTAATGTGGTTGAAACCCAAACATGTTTGTGTCCCTTTCAGTCTCTTAAAAAGTTTCTTTGCTTACACTATATGTTTTTCCCCTTGATTTTATGAGTCCCAACCCACCAAACACCACCTGCAGTGTGTTTCATGCAGTGCTGTTTGAAGCCTCTGCACACAGAAGGCTGCCTGTGCAGTGACTGTAGGCCCCTGTCTTTTCACAACGTCTGTCTCCTCACCTGCATTTTCATTTTTTTTCATCCACCCTCAAGCTCCCTCCTGCACTGTGTTTGTCATCTTTCTGTTTGGTCCATTCTCTCTTTCTGCCTGCCTTCACCCCCTCAGATCCCTGAAGCCACTGCTATTTTCAACCAAGCTTTCTGTTAAGCTTACTCCCATGGCCCGGTGGCACCAATGCGCATGCAGACACGCCTCAATCCCTATCTGTTCCTGATATACCAACACTTCCAGGCATGTTTTCTAGTCATATGCAATATCAGTCCTAGCTCTGTGTAGCGCTAGGCGAGCATCAGCACCAACGCCCCCCCAAACCAAGAAAGATTTTGACAATCCGCAGGCACACAGAGCCCCTTGCCTGCCTCCCTGTTCCTCAAAGACACATGCTGACACACACGGAGATAAATGAGATTACGGTATTTAGGGCTTATGACTCTGCTGACACTCTTCCAGTCAATTCCTACCCCTTATATCTTGTGGTAACACTACGGCTTCTGTTGTGCCCACATTGAACTGTATCTATTGATTTTTCTGCAGGATGAATCAATTTGCAAATTCCCTCAGCAAATCAGAACTCAGCATTTAACAGGACCACGGTAAAGCTGCCATTACAGTGCATAAGCTCTGTTCAGCAGGTTCTCCTCGCCTCAGGCAGCATGGCCGACCTCTTCTTGGACAAGGTCTTAGTTAAAAATAATAAAGACAAGGATGAGCTGGACACAGAGAGGGAGATGGTGCTCCGGCTCCAGAACCGGGTCATGATGCTGTTTTTTGGGTCGGGTGAGTGTGAGCGCTGCAAGGAGTTCGTGCCGAAGCTGAAGGATTTCTTCAAACGCCTCACAGATGAGTTCTACGTTGAGCGAGCTGCCCAGCTGGTTCTGCTGTACATCTCTCTGGACTCCTCCGAGAAGAAGCAGCTCAAGTTTCTCAAAGACATGCCTAAGGGCTGCCTCTTCATTCCCTTCAAGGACAGCTACCGCATGTATGCTTATCTCTGTCACTAACCTGCTTCTGCAGAATTAGCCCAGGAAACATGTAGGCAGTGAACATACATAAGCACAGGGTGTTCTTGGTTTTGATGGCAGGTTAGGATTTGCTGGGGTCAGGGTTGCTGTAAGGAGGGGGGGGGGAGGGAAGTTAAGACAATTCCAAGGGTCCCTGAGTGACAGGGTCCCTAAAAAAATGGAAAATAACTGAATTGGTCTGGACTGGGGGGACCCAATATGATATGCCTTCATGGGGCCCAAAATCTTTAGCAACACCCCTGGCTGGGTATATTATGTATGTATGCAGTGAACATATGTACAGTGTATATTTGGGTTTGAGGGAGGTTACGGTTTGCCGGAGGTATTATGTATTTATGCAGTGAACATGTACATATGCACCGTGTATATTTGGGTTTGAGGGAGGTTAGGGTTTGCCGGAGGTATTATGTATTTATGCAGTGAACATGTACATATGCACAGTGTATATTTGGGTTTGAGGGAGGTTAGGGTTTGCCGGAGGTATTATGTATTTATGCAGTGAACATGTACATATGCACCGTGTATATTTGGGTTTGAGGGAGGTTAGGGTTTGCCGGAGGTATTATGTATTTATGCAGTGAACATGTACATATGCACAGTGTATATTTGGGTTTGAGGGAGGTTAGGGTTTGCCGGAGGTATTATGTATGTATGCAGTGAACATGTACATATGCACACTGTATATTTGGTTCTAAGGGAGGTTAATCTTATTTTCCACCTACAGCAGAATCTTCGTAGCTTCTAATCCACAGCAGACAGCTTTGAGTACCAACACACAGAAACATTTTTATATAAAATGACAGACTTGGTCATCATGATGATGCTAGATTTCTCCCTACTAAGGGCACTGCAGTACAACCCTTTGTGAGCTGTCCATTCCATTCATCACATACATTATTAACCAAAAGTTTTTGCACACCAGAGGTTTTTTTTTTACCATTTTTCCATTAATTTCAAAAACTTGAGATTTTTTTTATTCTTGTTAAGCACTGGATAGTTGAGTGAACAACTATAAATGAAAATATAAGTCAATAAAAGAAGTTTCCTTTATAACATGGAAAAGTACGTAACAGTGCATGTCTGACATCCTATTAATTGGTTGTATGGTGATGGCGTAGTCAAATTCTATGCTGTCCTTTAATTTCGAAAACACTAATTAACCGATTCACCCCATCAAACAAAGCAATATTTAATTTCCCTTTAGAAAGAATGTCTGCTACAACAGGTTACTTTGATGAATCAAAGATGTGACATTTTCTTGCTGATAAAGGTACTCAAGTGGTTAACATACTGTAAATTTATTTGCTAGCAAAGAATATCGAGTGTATTTTTCGTAAATCTTCAGTGTGTGCAAAAACTCAAAACAGAAACAAGGCAAACCATGAGAGGTTAAAACGGGAAGGAGAGGATTGGGCACGGAGCAACATCAATGAATGGACTGGGGAGCTCAAGACAGGGAGGCATGTTATACAGCACTGATGACGACATACAAGCTGAATACAATAAAACAAGTAAGAAGTGGGGCAAACCAAACAAGAACAAAAGCAAAGACAGAAACAGGCTCGCCTCCAGGCTGTATGCTAAGCCACCATAATGGGGGCGGGGCTAGACAGGCGCAGACCCTGACACAGACAGGGGTAACGAATAAGCAGGACTGCACCAGGGGACCAACTGGATAGACAGGGAACAACACAGGGCTGATAGGAGACAGACGGAACATAGTTCTAGACCGGATCAAGGCAGGACGGACACCAACAGAGCAGGGTAAGAAATTAGACAGGCCTGAAAACTGGACATAGGACCATGGGACACCATTAGGGAACTCGAAGCAGATACACACACACTTGAGGACAATATCGACAAAGACAAGGCCAGACTGACAAGGCGGGAGCAAACATGGCCTCGGACCAGACACGAGACACAACTGTGTGAATCATACAAATGTGGGCCGCACTAGGAACTGCACAAACATCAGAAGGAACAGCTAATCAAACAAAAGAAAGGTCGGACAGGTACAGGGACAACCAGAGCAGGGGTACAGACATGGGCAAGGGCAACATGGGGCATAGGCTAGGGAAGATCAAAGGTAGGACAGGGCAATAAAGCACAAATATGGGCAGTGGTGGCTTGATGGTTAGGGTAGCGCACTTGTAATTGAAAGATTGCAGGTTCAAATCCCCCACCAGCAAGTCAC